AAAACGCATATTGACGAGAGGTTGTCTGTGTATGTGTTTGTGTGTCCGCGTGTGCGTCTGTCACGGTTTTTCATCTCGAGACCTACAAAAGCTACAAGGCTGAAACTTTGGGAACTTAATCTACATGCACCCTGCCCCAATCCCTAAAATTGGCGCCGTTACCCTCGTGGTACCCGCGTACGAGCCCGCCAAAATTTTTTTCGGATGAGTCCATAACTCGGGGATCTGAGAAGCTAGAAAGCTGAAGTCTTAGGGTGATGTTCCCCGTCCAAGTGGGTATTAGTGAGGTCAAACCCAGCCTCCGGATAAGCGTGGTACCCGCGTACGGGCCCGCCAAAATTTTCTTCGGGTAAACTCGGGGATCTGAGAAGCTAAAGGACTGTAATTTTAGGAGGATATACCTCGTCCACCGAAGTTTCATTCAGCTCATATCCAACTCTCGGATATGCGTGGTAAGCACGCACGGGTCCGTGAAAATTTTTTTCCAGTAAGTTGCTAACTCAGGAGTCAGGGAAGCTAGAAAGCGGAAATTTTAAGGAGGTATTTTCTGACAGTTCTGGCAGCCAGTCTTAATTTGTTTAGCTAGAAGCATTTGTCGAAAAAGCCGGTGCCGGAAGCAACAAAAACTGCGCGAAACTATGCAAAAAAGCATCTTCGCACGGGCGGCCCGTGCGTTAGCCAATTATTTTTAAACTCGCTTTGTCGCATGTATAAAATTGAAGACATTCATTTAATTCATTCCTGCGCCGTGCAGTACAATTAACTCTCTAAGCCTTTGGTACTTAAACAACGGGGAAGAAAGTAATGATAAAAAACGTGAGGCAAAACGCAACAGAAGCATTTTGAAACAGCACAACGTAAATTCAAAAATTTTATAAAAAATGCCAGTATCATAGGATAAACATTAATATCTTGGCCTCCGATTTCTGGATAATTGAAATATCTAAAGGCTTGTCGACTAAGTTGCCCAGCTGTCAAGATGTTAGATTCAGGATTTACAATAT